CATAGCCGGATGAGTTGCCTCATATTTTCTCTCATACTGGCTAACGACCAACTGTGAATCAGAGTAGGCGTCAATTTTCATTGCCTTTGCCGCCTTACACATACGGATACCGGCTAGCAGGGCTTCATACTCTGCCTCATTATTAGAGGCCTGAAACTTGAACCGTAGTGCATACTCATATCTGTCCCCTTCATGAGACTCGTAGATTACACCTGCACCACAGCCGTTCTTTGTAGAGCTCCGGTTTACATACACTTTCCAAACCTGAACAAGATTATCTGGAGCCACCGGACGGGTCATTTCAACTATGAAATCAGCAAACGCCTGACCTTTCACTGCCTTTCTTGGTTCGTAAGTAATTTTAAGACTTTGCATTTCAATAGCCCATTTCAACATTGTCCTGGATGACTCCAAGGTGGACATTGGCCGCTTGAGTGGCTGGTCGGTGTAAATCACCACCAGATGTGCCAGAAAGTAAGGCTTCAGCTTTTTGAATGCCATATACAAAGCAAGGCCAAATTTTTCAATCATGGGGTACCGAAGTTCAGCATGTTTGAGAACATAGCTAATGAAGTAAACCGGGAGCTGAACGCCGTCTCGCTCAACAAGGAGAATGGCACTGAGAGCGTGATCTGAGACGGATAAATACATGTACAACATCTCCCTAGGCAAGGGACTGACCAGCCTAGGTAGAGAATGCAAATGTTCTTTTAACTTCTAGAATGCCGTCTCATCATCGTCTCCCCATTTAAACCTGGTCTTCTTCCTGATAACTTGGAAGAAGTAAAGGCATTTGTCGCCTGACCGGCTGAGGAACCTCCCCAAGGCGGCCAGGTAACCAGTGAGTCTCTGAACTTCCTTGACAGAATGGGGTGACTTCATGTCAATCACCGCCTATATCTTTTCGGGGTTAGCCTCTATTCCCCTTTGATTAATCAGGAATCCGAGAAACTTCCCAGACTCAACACCAAAGACGCATTTCTTGGGGTTTAACATGACCTTATGCCGCCTGAGGGTGGTGAATGTTTCTCGGAGATCAGCAAGATGATCCGCCTGTTGCTTGGATTTGACTATCATGTCATCAACATACGCCTCCACATTCCTCCCAATTAGATTAATGAAGACCGTATTAATCATCCGTTGGAAAGTGGCAGGCGCATTTTTCAAGCCAAACGACATCACAGTATAACAGAATAACCCCAAATCAGTGACGAAGGTCGTCTTCTCTTGATCTTTCTTCTAGAGGGGTATCTGATGGAAGCCGGAATAGGCATCCATAAAGCTCATCAAGGCATGACCGGCTGTGGAGTGGACCAGACTGTCGATCTTTAGAAGCTGGTAACTATCCTTTGGACATGCCTTGTTAAGGTTTGTGTAATCAACACACATGCGCCAGGTCCCATTCGGTTTTTTAACATGGACCACATTGGCCACCCAGTCGGGGAAATTACAAGGCCGAATGAACCTGGCGTCTAGCAGCTTTTTGACTTCGGCAGCTGCCGCCTGAATTCTTTCCTCGTCGTGGTTTCTTTTCTTTTGCCGGATGGGCTTCTTTTTGGGGTCCACGGCGAGTTTGTGGACAGCGAAATCCGGGCTGACGCCTGACATCTCTTCCACTTCAAAGGCAAAAATGTCTTTGAATTCTTTCAGCAGAAGGTGCAAGCTTGCACCCAGAGTAGCATGAGCAACCGTCCTAACCTTTACAGTACGCTCTGGACGGCTGTCATCCAGAGCGAGATCAATGTTTTCACCAGCTGGTAGGGAACGGAGCTTGTCTAACCGTTCACCGATCAGTGATTGCTATTTTTTCTCTTTCTTCACCTCCACCAGCAGAGGTGCCTTTCTTTTCTTCCCGAATGCTGGTGGGGCAGGTACTGGCTCGGCATCCTTGACATTGTCAAGGTCTATTGGTTCCTGGCCGCCTGGGGCCACATTATCTTTGACGGCCGAGAGATAACACTCTCGGGCCGTCTTCTGATCCCCATTCAAGGAACCAACAGAGCCGTCATCCCTCTCATACTTGATGAGCATGAGAGACGGGATGATTACCGCCTTGGTTTCGTTGAGAGTTGGCGGACCAAGGATAATGTTGTAGGCGGTCAACTCCTCAACGACCAAGAATCTGACGACAATATGTCGTCCCTGGCCTTTCTCTCCCAGCCAGATGGGTAAGTCAATTCTTCCGGCTGGGTAGACCATCCCAGCCCCAAAACCAACCAGGGGGTGGGTGACCGGATGCATGCTGCTGACATTGTATTTCAGATTTCGCAGGCACCGGAGGCTGATGATGTCTGATGAGCTGCCAGTGTCATTAAGGATCCGTCCAACCAGCCGGTTGGCCACCTTACATTCAATGACGACCGGATCATCATGCGGACGGCAGACGCTGCCCTTGTCCTTCTCAATGATCAGGATGTTTGGGAAGGAGGAGCTGGTAGACGCCTGCTCATCCTCATTTTTGTCCCTCTTTCGAAGATGGCTCTTGGTGCCCCGGATGGTAGGGCCACCACATGAGAACCCGCCTGCTATTGTGTAGACCGGCTCCTTGTCGGTATCCGAGCTACTAGCAAAATGGGGGGTAGCCTTGGAGGACTGACCCTTGCTCTTCTTCTTTTCCCCGGATGGGGACTTTAACATCCCCTTGTCAGCCAGACGGTCCAACGCCCGTTGAAGGCTGAAGCAGTCGTTGGTGTCATGGCTAACTTCCTCATGGTATTGGCTGAATTTGTTTTTGTTCCTTGATTGAATGGAACTTTTCATTGGATTCGGCTTATCTAAGGACAGTCGGTCCTTAATATCCATGACGATGGAGTTGCAGTCCTTGTTAAACTCGTACTTAGGGACGTACGGTTTAAATTCTTTCTTTTTCTTCTGAGACGGCTGGTCAGAGTCACTAACCGCCCAGATTTCTTTTCTTTTATTGCTCTCTTCTTTATTTTTGGCCGGCTGAGCAGGCCGGCTGTCTTTCTGTTTGTCAGAATTCTTGGAGTCCGACTGATTACCAGGCGAGCAGAGGTCGGTTGCTTGAATATAGCTTTCCGCCTCCCTCAGGGCCGCCTGTAAAGTGAAAGCCCCTTTTCTGACTAGGTCGAACTTAAAGGTCGACCCATCTCTCAGACCCTTGAAAAAGTCTGTAAAAGCTACCTCATCAGACAGTCCCTAAATTTGAATTCTGATCAGATTGAACCGCCTGACATAGGAGCGCAACCCTTCTCTCTCTCCCTGCTTAACGGTGCTCAAGTTAAGACTTGTTTTCTTAGCAGGGAGGTTCATTGAGAAGTTGGAAGCAAACAGGAAGGCAAGCTTCTTGAAGCTATCAATGGACCCGGTTGGCAAGTTGCCAAACCATTGTTGGGCAATGCCCTTCAATGTAGCCAGGAAGCATCGTCACCAAGTGGCATCATCCAACCCCTGTAAGTACATGAGGTTGGTGTAAGCCATGAGGTGATCTTCCGGGTTGGTGGTACCATCATAGGTACCTACCAATACATTCTTAACCTTGGCCGGCTGTGCCGCTTCAGTTTTCTCCCGGGTGAACGCAGAAAGTTGTTCACCGAGGCGAAGTAGACGGAGCTGCCAGTCTAGTGGCTGGACATTGTGATATGCCGCCTGACCTCCGAAGAGGACCGACTGCATGAAGTGAGGGGGATACTGACCGTAGACCTGAGATGGTACATACGATAAAGTTCCTATCATCTGAGGGCCAGAATGGACGGTATTACCGCCTGTCTGGCTCTCGTGCAGGGAAAGTGCATTCCCTGCAGACGTATTGTTGAAGCTGACAGGATAGTTCGACGTGGAAGCTGACTCAGACAACTGTTGATTTCTCTTCCGGTTGATGATTTCCCGGGCATCAAGAGTTGATTTTTTACTTCCCATCGACTGTTGAGTCCGGCGGGTATTGTTGGAATTCCTCTTAGGAAGAAGAATTTTGGACCAATAATTGGTCCCGACTGCCTTCTCCTTTGGATGAAGAGTGGGCTGCCGATCTATGACTAACTTCCCCTTTTCAAGAGGAGTCTTCTTGGCCGACTGGCCTCTACTTGGGCCAGCCCGACCCTTAGTGATGAGCTCTTTAATTTCACCCTTGAAACTCGTCATGAATCTCATGAGTTCGTCTCGGGTGATGGGTGCTGATCCAACTGTCGTATGGGTTTCCCCTTCCGGCTGTCCAGGGGGTCGATTTGTACCCGCCTAGGAGGCACCCCGCTCCAAAGTCTCTCTGGGCCGGGTGCGCTTGGTTATTAGAGAGCCATCATTAGCTGTATAGGTTTTGAGCTGAGGATCTTTATCCTCCTGGTCTGTAAAGACTTCAGGGTCATCGCCCAGAAGATTAGGAGGTGGTAGAGACTCTTGAACCATCTTTGAGGTACTCTCCCCACAAACGGAGACACCGGTTGGGTGGTGCTCCGCCTCCGACGAACAAGTTAGTAACTTGAAAGGAGAGAAAAAGGTGCGGAAATTTAGGTGGGTATCTACTCGGATTCCTAGCTCAGATGTCTCTATCATAGGGACAATTTGAAATAAAATGTTAAAAAACGTGCCCTCCAAAAGAGGGGAATCTCCCTATTTATAGGGTCCTCGGGATTTGTGCCCCTGATTAGGTCACTAAACCCTAATCATTGATGGGTTGCGCCGTATTGCGGCTTTCTCGGGATTTGGGCCTGAAGGCCGCCATTCCTCCCAGGTTTCTGGAGTGACACGTGTCAAGCAGGGATAGGTCCACCTTGGGCCATCCGGGGGCTGACACGTGTTATCCCCTGATTGGACCACGTGGCGGGGTAAAATTACCCTAAACAGGAACTGTCATAGTTTACTCTGGTTTCCTTTCGATCTTTTCCGGCTCTCAGCCTGATAAATGTGTAGTGTATGTGTGTGTCATTGTATAATTTCCATTGGCAGTATATATGTAAGGCTTACAAGCACTTCCCTCAGCCTGATGTGTGTGTGTGCGTATTTTTAACTATGCAGATTAATTTTTAATAGTTCTTTTTTTGCAGGTTCTTCTTGATTAGGAGAGATGTATGACAAGTAGTGATGGCTCTAGCATTCCCGGTTCACTTGCTGTGCCTATGGGAGCTGAAAATCAGGTTTGTAAAATTGTAAAGCTAAAATTGTATATATTATTTTTTTTTTAACTTTGATAAATAATATAGGCATGTTGTGTTTGATTCTTCACTAGTGTAGTTTGCATTTTTTTGCTTCAGATCTATCGATTTTATTTTATTTTTATTTTTCTGATTTTGGATCTTTCTTTGCTAGTTTGGGTATGGTGATAAGTAAACCGAGAGTACGGCAAGATGTGCTACTCAGATCTTCTCCGGGGGCTTCAACGGTTTAATAATCAACACGGTTGGTAGTTCTTCCTCCGGTTCCTCATCCGCTGCCCCCCTTTGCTGAAATCACGCCAAAATTAAACAATAACAGGAACAACCCCAGAAAGAACAACTGTTGTTGCTGAAACAGTTTCGAATTATGAGCAAACGAGAGAGCAACGTATTGAATTTGAATCTCATCTTAGTCATAGCAATTAGCAAGTGCATGACTTGTTTTTAATTTCTTTAATAGATAAAATCATTTGAATGTTGTATAACTTTTGCTAATTGAATTTCAACTATATATTTGTATAAATTATTATTTAAATCTATTTTTTTAATTGATAATTTATAATAGTAATTAAAATTTGGCAGCATACTAGCAGGTATCAGCTGCTGGATTTTTTTTTATTTTGGGTTCAATTGTATTCGTAACGGGCAGTCAGACTATCCGTTACAAATAACCCGTTATTCGTAACGTGCAATCAGACTGCCCGTTACGAATAACCCGTTATTTTGTAACAGGCAGCGCCTGTTATGAATAACATATCCTATCCGTAATGGCAGCATACGTTACGCCCGCTGCCTGTTACGAATAGGCTGTTTTTGCCCGTTACGGATAGCTATTTTTCCACTAGTAAGAACTTCCCGAGAAGTTATCATTTAGCTTGAATTTGGTAAACTTCAAGGAATGGGAGGAGGAACTCCGTTTGACCCTCTGCAATTGATACCTGGAGCATATCTTGGATACGCCCATCCCGAGTTTCTACTCAAAAGGTATCATGAGCGATGTGGCTCACGAGGAATGGAGTTATGATTGCAAGAGAGTCTCTCGACTCATGACAAACTACCTTCCGGATGTAGTTCTCAAGGCTCTAGAAGATGTGGTCAATTTGAGGGTAACAAAGAGCGATAAGGGAAACTATTATGGACTCGTGGAAGAAGTGACTAGGTCATTGTCTAACATGAGGATCAAGAAGTATGGGCTAGGGTCTATAGTGCAAGACTTAGACCCGGGATGCCGCTTCAAGCCCATGTGCAAAAGATGACAAGGTTATTCAACCATCTGTAACTGATTGGTAAACTGGTGGAGGATGAGCAAGCGGCTCATATACTTTTAAGCTCACTCCACTCGGCGTACGTTGCAATTCATATACAACTTACCAACAATCGGAACAAACTATCCCACAAGGAAGTTGTCCAAGAGCTCCAAAAAACCTATTCTTGCAAGGCGGCTAAGTTTGCTCTAAGTCTCAAGAAGGAGTTAAAAAACAAGGCCAAGATGCGCTGCTTCTATCGTAGTAAGCAAGGCCACTACAAAAGACAATGTAGCGAGTATCTGGAAGATGAGGAAAGAGGAAAGAAAGCCTTAATCTTAGGTATCATCTTGAAACTTGAAAATAAGCAATTTATATGGTATTAGATACCGAAAAATTGACTCACTTTATGCTCCTATTTCAGGAACAAAATGAGCGGTGCTTTTCAAGTGGTCATGAGTATACAAGTGGAAGATGAAGAAAAACTATCCAAAGAAAACTTGTAATCTCATGTATTTTGTCTAAATTCTAAAACTTGCTAAGTTTTATCTACCATACTTTGATATTGCGACGTTGGACGTTATTTTAACCTTGATCACAAGACCTTTTGTTTCATGTCTTATTTATATTTATGTAAATGACACCTTTTGTGTGTTTAGACAAAATTTTTTATGATGATACTAAAAGAGCTAAGACCATGGAGTCAAATCAAACTTACTTGTGGCATTGTCGTCTTGGCCACATTAACATCAAACGCATCAAGAAACTTCTTCATGAAGGCGTTCTTAACTCTTTCGATTTAGAATCTTTTGAGAATTGCAAAGGATGTTTATTAGGCAAGATGATAAAGCAGCCATTCTCCAAGTTGGGAGAAAGAGCAGGTGACTTATTAGGTCTAAATACATACCTGTAGGCGTTGTTCGAAGTGCACCTACGTTAGTGCATGTTGTGAATATGCTTGGCACTCATAGGAAGTGGGAATTGACATATACAATTAGGGACAAGGAAAGTAGGGAGTCGCCAACAAGTTTTTAAGGAACTTGTAAACCGTTCACGGATCATTTTAGGCAACCACGATAAAGGGACAACAATAGGCAACAACAATTGACTCGTGAAGGTTACACCCCATTCATAATCCATGAGATTACTAACTCCATATGGTTCGGAACCACAAAAGGAGGATCGAGGATGATGGTACGAAGTGAGTCATGGAGTCACATTCGCCCGTATTGGCCTCTACTCGATTCTTATAGTGAAAAGCATTCCTGCGATCTCAAAGGCAAACAAACAATATATTAAATTTTCTCCATACTATTATTAAGCTAAATTGGTTTAATATTAATGCAACACATAATTCTAAAATATTAGTGATAACTTGATTAAACAACAAGATTAAAAAGGAACCTAAACCGGTCGTCCAAATTATCTTATTTGGCGTGATTTCCAATTACATATTCCCTTTAAACATGCAATATCGTGATCAATAAATATAATAAAATCAAATTTAACTTTGGAAGCAATTTACCAATAAAACCAACAATATAAAATCTTTAGAAAAAAACTAGAAATAAAAGGAACATAATTCTTACTTTGATTTTGTTTGCTTGCAACTATAAAATAATAAATGAGTTAGTAACTTCAAGGAAATATTAATGGAACAATAATTAAACTAAATTAAATTAAATAGAGTTGATTTGGGGCCAAACCCTCAAACAGTTTTATCTTTCACGCCTTGGCTTAAGGAAAGAACCACGAGTAAAGTATGGACTCCTTGGAGTGCTTGAAGAGGGAATTTTGAAAGAAGAAGGGTAGGCTATTGTTTAGGCTAGAGCATAGAAGGGAAAAAAAATAGAGAATTAATAGATGCCCCGTATATCAGAAATGAGGGGGTATTTATAGAAAAAATGTGCTGAGGGAACACACAGAACCATAAAAAGATAAAAACCCTAAAATATTGCACCGCGACACGGCAGTGGGCATCGTCAGACGGGGAAAATTCCCGTGACACGGTGGACAGCTGTGTGACGCGGGAAATATTTTGGGTACGGGGAATAAAATGCGTGAAGGGTTTACGCAGAAAGGACATAGGATTTCTTCGTGTCACAGTAGAGGCACCGTGTCACAGGGAATCCTACCGTCAGACGGTGCAAGTTTGCGTGACACGGTGGACAAATGTCGTGACGCGGGAGCCTGCAGTCCGTTTTTCCGCCTAAATTCATTTTCAACCTTAATTTCGTTCATCATTTATAAGTGCCGATTGATAATTTCAGGCCTTTTCTGATTTATTATTATCAATTGGGCTAAAATAAAAATTAAAACAAAATTAAAGGTTTAGGCTAAAATAATAAAATAATTTTAAAAAGGTTTGGGCAGAAATTAAAAAAAATTAATTATGCTTTAACTAAACATCAAGACTGATCCATGGACTATTCAAAAAATAAATTTAATTAAATAAGATTTTTAAACACTCTCGAGATTAAATACTGAACCCGACCAATAATGAGGATGAAAGGTTGTTCATCATCAGGTTTGGTTTTAGGGAGACATTTTTTGTTGTCTACAATACCGATGTATGTGGACCAATGAGCTCCGTCACAAGAATTGGACATCGATATTTCATCACCTTCACAGACAAGTATAGTAGATATGGCTATGTCTACCTAATGTCGCACAAATCTGAATCGTTTGACAAGTTCAAAGAATTTCAGAGTGAGGTGGAAAATCAGCTTGGCAAGAAAATCAAAGCCCTTCAATCAGATCGAGGAGGTGAATACTTGAGCCAAGAATTCGATGACCATCTGAAAGATCATGGCATATTTTCGGAACTGACACCTCCAGGAACCCCACAATGGAATGGAGTATCCAAACGGAGAAATCAAACCTTGTTAGACATGGTACGATCAACCATGGGTCTTAGTGATTTTCCAATTTATTTCTGGGGACATGCACTTTTAAATGCGGCACTTTTAACTATATCGTGCTCCATCAAAAGCTGTAGAAAAGACTCCATATGAATTATGGACGAACAAACCTCCTAGGTTGACTTTTCTAAAGATATGGGGATGCGAAGCATACGTCAAGAAATTGATTTCTGACAAGCTTCATCCCAAATCTGATAAGGTTTCCTTTGTGGGCTACCCAAAAGAATCCAAAGGGTATTACTTCTACAACAAATCGGAGAACAAAGTGTTTGTTTCTCGCGATGGTGTCTTTTTGGAGAAGGAGCACCTGTCTAATATGACAAGTGGGAGGAAAATCGAACTCGACGAAGTTCGTGAGGATGAGCAACAAAATCAAAATGATAGTCAAAGTGCTCAAGTAGCATCTGTTGACGAAGATCAAAATATGCAAAGTCGAATCGACAATGCAAATGCTCAGTCCATTACCCTACATAGGTCTCAGTGGTCGAGTTCTCAACCTGATAGATATCTCGGATTGTTTTTCACCGAGAATTAGGACATCCTACCGGCAACCTACGAGCAAGAGATGGCAAGCACCGACTCTGCTAATTGGCAAGAGGCCATGAGATCTGAAATGGATTCCATGTTTGAAAATCAAGTCTGGGACTTGGTTGACTTACTCGAAGGCTACATACCTATCGGATGTAAGTGGATTTTCAAGTTGAAAACCGACAAAGATGGAAATGTATTCATTTACAAAGCTAGATTGGTAGCAAAAGGTTACAAACAAGTTCATGGTATTGAATACGATGAAACCTTTTCTTTAGTCGCAATGCTTAAATCCGTTCAGATCCTTCTAGCGATTGTTGCATATTACAATTATGAAATATAGCATATGGACGTCAAAACCGCCTTCCTCAATGGAATTTTGGAAGAAACTGTGTACATGACAGAGCCTGAAGGTTTTGTTAACCAAAACAATGCTAGAATGGTATGCAAGCTTAAGTCCATTTATGGATTAAAGCAAGCAAGCAAGCAGAAGTTAGAATCTGCGATTTTATGAAGCCATTAGTAAGTTTGGTTTAATCAAGAATCCAGATTTTTCTTGTGTTTACAAGAAGGTCAGTGGGAGTGACATCGCCTTCCTAGTCTTATAGAGTTTGTAAAGGCTTGGCTCTGAAAACGTTTTTCAATGAAAGACTTGGGAGAGGCTCGGTACATATTAGGCATCATGATCTATAGGGATAGATCAAAGAAGATGATAGGCTTGAGTCAAAGTACTTATATTGATAAGGTACTAGCTCAATTCAACATGGAAGGAGCCAAGAGAGGCCACCTACCCATGCTAAATGGCATAACCCTTAGCAAGAAGTAGTGTCCAAAGACACATGATGAGCGGGAAAGGATGAATCAGATTCCATATGTTTCGCTTA